TTACATGAAATCCATTGGTGGTAGACTACGAGAGGCAGGAGAAAACAAAGTGGGGGGGGCGGGCAGGGGAGACCTCTGGGATTGGATAAAAAGTAAAATGATAGACACATACTTAATGGGTGCAGGATAGCCAACAGTCTGCTTCTTGATAAACTGTAGCATTTTGTTGCGTTTCTGAAGTCCTTTTTCATAGACAAATGCCTAAGGTCATTGGTTGAAGAAGTGTGCTTCTCTGCTCTGAAGTTGTGTGTGTTGTTTCTCTAGTCTCATGATTGATCTGACCGAAGTGGAAAAGGAGCGCCTTCTAGATGAAGTAAGTTTTCTGCAAGTCTTGTTCTACTTACTGAGCACTGGCTATTTCCTGCCCCCACCCCATCCTGAAAACTCAACATTTGCCTCTCAAATATGAGAACTTAAGCTTGTTCGTAATAGCAAAGTAATAGAAAAGGAGTTTAAGAACCAAATCTTAGCGTGTGTACTGAGCACCTACCACATATGCTGGACATTTCCTCCAGGCAGGCGGTGCTCTTCCTGGGGCAGGGCAGGCCGGCAGCTGTCAGGTCAAGCGCATTTTAAAGATGCTGGCGCCACAGCAGGTGGCGCTGTGCTGTGATGGGAGGTCCTCATGTGAAGGCGCCTGTGAAGGCAGGGGACTTGCAGCGAGCAGATGCCCCTCAAGCAGGATACTGCTATTGGAATAAAAGTATGAGGAAGGAGGGTTTGTGGTGCTTGTAAACGGTGTGTGAGATTGGCCAAGGAAAGGTCATTCACCAAGTCAGCGCTACGGTCAGAGTGGCCGAGCGCTCGTGGCCATCGCTCACCAGGGAGCGCGAGCCGCCTGTGTGTGCAGGGCCTGGGTCACAGCGGCTCTTCAAGCACAGGGTTTCAGCCGCCTTTGGTTCATTGCTTTGTGATTTTTAAGCTGAAATAACTGTGTACTGTTTTGCTATTAGTATATAGTAATGAATAAAAACAAACATGTTAACTTGTTTGATATTGAAATTCAGCATTTGGGTTTGATGTTATATTAGGCCCATAAGTTCTCTTAAAATCGGTACCTAGAAGCTGATGGAGCTGATAGACATTTGAATCCTTGCATATAAATTAGGGTGAAGGTTACCTCACAGGGCTTTGGTGGTCTCGAGGAGTTAGTGTTTGTGAAGCCTTGAGATGGTCCCAGGCAGCAGGCAGGGGTGGGTGTGGTCCACGGGTGTGGGCCACATGCCTGTCGAGAGAGCTTGGGGCTGGGTGTGGAGGGTTCCGTCCTGGGCTCCCGCGAGCAGTGTTGGTGCCGCAGGAGAAACCTCTTGGGACATTATGCAGACTGGTTACTCGAATGTCGATTCAGGAGAACTGCTAACCCTGCACCGTTTGTCTTCAGTGGTTCACCCTGGACGAGGTCCCCAGAGGAAAGCTGCACCTGAAACTGGAGTGGCTCACACTGACGCCACATGCTGCTCACCTGGACCAGGTGTGTGACGCGTTCCTGCCGGCTGAGACCCACGCCTTTCAGAGGACTACAGCAGCACCTTGGGTGGTTGTGCTACAGTCACTGCGGTGGCCTCAGGGATAAATTAAAGATGATGGCATTTTTTAAGAGAATTAAAGGCCATTTACACCTGTTTCACAGGATCTTCAAATCTTGTACTTGATGCAGAGCCGGGGTTTGGAGGGCCACAGAGCACTGGTCCTTCCTTTGATTTGTAGAGAATCTTTCCTACTTCCACTCTGCTTGCACGTGTTGGGGTTCTCTGCTCCCTCTGCTTGCACATATTGGGGTTCTCTGTTCCCTCTCTCCCGTTTGCTGGAGCGTTACAGGCATAATTGGGTAGCAAGAGTCTAAAACGATGTGGAAATGTGTCTGCTGAGACTCTTCTCCTTCCTGGTAGGTGCTGACAGACATCAGGGCTGACAAAGACCAAGCCAACGATGGCCTTTCTTCTTCCTTGCTGATCTTGTATTTGGATTCAGCGAGGAACCTTCCGGTAGGTAGCACTGTGGGAACTCATGTGTGTGCTGGTGTCCACACTGTCACCCGTTCCTGTTGCTGTGTCTTCTCTTCACCCCAGCCCAGAGCGGCGTGGAGTGGGTGGTGCAACAGTGTGTTAAACTCCTTTTTATCATCAAGATGGCCCTTTATTCTGACATGTTTTATGAATAAATCTTCAATACAGAGGAGATTCATCCAACTCCCTAGTAGTTAGGGAAGAGGATGTTCTGTAGGAAATCACTGAGTAGTAACATTTCATTCTCTACTTGGTGTGGGAGTAAAATGAAGCAGCTCTGATGACAAACCCAGATTCATCCTGCAGCTGCCTGGCCAGATGGCGGGCGGCCCAGTGGTGGGAGGACTGAGTACTGAGTGCCGTGGGTGTGGGGACGCACTGCCTGGCAGGCAGACACGCACTGCCCCTGGCAGTCTCCTGCTGCACACGTGGCTTCTGCAGCCCAGAACAGTGCACCTTGTTAGCATCAGAATTGTTTTGCTCTTAGAAAAAACCATAAAGTACAGTTTTTATGGGTAATGACTATAACTTGGAGAAGAAAAACCATATACATTTTCAGTCGTGGGAGGCCTGCTCTGATCCCCCACCACCATAGTTTGACCCTACTGTTCATTATAAATGTCCTATTGCTTTGATATATTTCTCTTTTTTTTGATATATTTCTTAAAATATATTTTTATTGATCTTAGAGAGGAAAGGAGAGGTGGAGAGAGATAGAAACATCAATGATGAGAGAGAATCTTGATCGGCTGCCTCCTGCACGCCCCCTACTGGGAATGAGCGCGCAGCCTGGGCATGTGTCCTGACCGGGAATCGAACCATGACCACCTGTCTCAGGTTGATGCTCAGCCACTGAGCCACGCCAGCCAGGCTGTTTTGATAATTTTTTGAGTGCCCACCACTTGTTCAGTAGATGGCCATTCTTGCTTTCTTTCATTGTGTTGAAGGCCAATTTTGTTGACAGAAAGACGACTGCTTCCAGATGCAGTGCCCCCTCCCACGATGATGATAATGCTCACCATCCAGGTCATGAGTGTGTCCCCGTCCCTTCCCGTGGACACGCAGGGAGCAGCGTGCAGCTCGGCCCTTAGCTGCCACCTCAGGGTTTCACTTGGCCTCCATTCTGGTCTCAGCTCAGCGGCTGGACGGTGTGTCCTTTACTTCATGAAGTCACACACCTCATTTCAGTTAGGACCTCTCAGGGTTCAAAACTGTGCATTACTTGGGCTTTGTGCAGCAGCACAGTCGTGTACTCAGTGTATCAGGACACTTTATTTAAAGTTTTCACAATTACAGTCTGATCAGTCATCTATTTTTTTTTCATATTGGGAACATGTAATTGAACTCTGTCTATGTAATTGTATATATAGTTGGCCCTTGACCAACATGGGGGTGAGGGCTGCCAACCCCAAGCCGAAAATCCACGTGTAACCTCATCCTCCGCTGACGAGGATTCCCTGCCCCGACTGGAATCAGTGTCCCGCACAGCCCGGGCGTGAGCGCCACAGGCCCGCACGCTGCTCGGGGCCAGCTGTCCTGTGTTCCTTGGTCGGTTTCTTTACCGATGTAGCTCTGACTTTCTCTTAAAGTGTTCACCTTTTGGCCTGTCTTCCAGTCTGAAGTCAGTGGCTTTATCTGTTCTAGTTTCAAATTGAGGGAAGTTTCATTATTATTTAACCTTTCTACAGAATTTCTTGTATGGTAGAATTTTTTGTTTTTAACCACAATAATGTTTGTTATCAAATCTTTATCATGCCTGATGGAAATGAATGTGATATATTTTAGGATATACAGAATAGTGTATCAGAAGGGACTAGGCTGCTCTTCAAAACTGTGTTTTATTACATTAAATTAAAATTTGAATGATGTCACAGAAGCAAAAGAAGCAAGTGAATCTATTAACCTCTGCTAAAGGGCACTTTGTGCGCGGAGCGTGCTCTGGCCAACGGGCAAAGGGCCTTCGAGGCACTGCTGCTGCTGGGGTCACTTCCCACGGAGCGTTGCCGGCGCTCCCCGTCCCGTGGCTCTGTGACTGCCCTTTGCACTCCTGTTACTGGTGCTTCTTGTGTGTGTTGATCACAACCCACCATTCTTTGCTTTCTCCTCCCGTTTCCACTTCCTAAGAGTATCTACGAGGGAAGCTTTGGGTGTGGCCACTTAAAAGAGAGGCGAGCGTCGGGACTAGTGTTCTGTGAGAATACTGCCTCAGTCTATAGAGCACTATTTGTGAGTTCCCCATGTCGTCTTCCTTGTGTGCTAGTGGAGACTGCGAGAATGTGGCTGCAACTCCTGGTGCTGTCTCCTCGGTGGGGGAATGGCGTGGCATGCGTTTCACTTTTCTTGCATGATTCCAGTGACTGTGTGTGCTTGCTTGGTGCTTGTTTTGTAAAATGTGCCACTGCTGTGACTAACATTGGTGACTACATCTGATGATGAGATGAACAAACCTGAGTCATGAGGAAGCCCAGGAAAAAATAAAATAACTCTTCCATGGAAAAAGTGAAACCACAGCGATTCATTGGGTTTTCTTGTGGTTCATCTCACTGTGAGATGTAAATATTTCTTTGCAAGCTTTCAAAAACCTCCCTCAAGTCTGCTTTCTCCTCCTGACCAAGCAGAAGCCTTAGAACTTGGCTTTCCTTAGAGTCCCTCTGTGCCCTGGGGTGGTCAGTGAAGACAGACGTGCACTCGGTACCCGAAAGCATGCTCTCTCCCTCCTGCGAACCAGTTCCTCAGGGAGGACAGATACTGCGTGTGTGACTCAGATCCTCTTAGGAATGGAAAGCATTTCCTGGAGCGGACAGTGCGAGTCTGACCTTGCTTGGGAAGCTGATCTCGTTCTATCTGTTTCCCAGGGTCTGGCTGTAGCACCTTGATTCATGGCACTGTTCTTGGTGCCTTTAGCAAACACTTATTTAAGTTTCTTCAGGGTAAAAGGAAGCCACCCATGGCTTAGTTATTAGTCCAGAGGGTCACCCTTTCTTGGCTAATCACTGACTTATTAGCAGCTCAACAGCTGGTGAGACTCTTCGAGTCATTGGTCCTGGAGGCTGATGGGGTCAGGCTTTGCAGCTGTGAGGAGTTCTCATTTCTGTTTCCACATGAAAAAGAGGGGCAGGCAGAACGTCAAGAACAGGTGTATTGTCCCAGGTCAGTGATGGCGAACCTTTTGAGCTCGGCGTGTCAGCATTTTGAAAAACCCTAACTTAACTCTGGTGCCGTGTCACATATAGAAATTTTTTGATATTTGCAACCATAGTAAAACAAAGATTTATATTTTTGATATTTATTTTATATATTTAAATGCCATTTAACAAAGAAAAATCAACCAAAAAAATGAGTTCACTCTGACACGCATGTCATAGGTTCGCCATCACTGTCCTAGGTCATAGAGGAGGAAAGTGAGGACCTCAAGGGGTGGGCGAGGTTCAGGCACCCCGACAGTATGCGCCCCTCCACCTGCACTGTGACCCACGGTGGTGCTCATGGCATCTATTTTGCACCACTCTTGAGTAACAGAGTTTTCCGTGGCAGTGCTCCAGGACAGCTGCATGGCTGGCTGCGTGATGGCGGCGCCTCCGCCAGCGGCCTGTGCTTACGTCTTTTCATTCTGGAAACGTTCTGCCCTGCGTCAGGGCTCTAGTCGCTTTGTCAGGTTCTGCTGTGACCCTGCTCGTCATCAACACTGCTTTCCTCCTCCATTGTCACAACCACATGCTCTGCTTTGTGATTCCAATGTTGGCGTTCACAGGGTGCTCTGTGAACTAAATTTGAACAAAGTGATTGTATTTTTAGACCCATTGGTTTTCACTATGAAGTTGGATCTGTGTTTTCTCAATTTCCCTCATGCCTGAGCCCTTTCCTGTTTCTAGGAAAGGCCTTAGCTGCCTGCCCTTCTCAGTCCTACCTTCTACCTGCTCAGAACACTCTTAATTTCCACGCGTAAGTGATTACCACTCGTGACCCCCTGTGGAAGCTCTAGAGCAACAGGACTGTGTCCAGACGAGATGGCCCTTCCATTGCTGACTGGAACTCTGCTCTCCTCCTTTTGGTCAAGTCCTGGGCTGCAATTTCAGAGGGACGCCATGGTGCCCTCTGACGCCTGGGGGTCCCCTCTAGACCTTTGGCTTCCTGATAACTCGTGTCTGCACAGCACTTTCCAGGGGTTCTACGTGCACCGCTCCCTTAGTCTCAGGTAGGAGACAGCAGGGAGCTGAGGGACTGAGGTGAGAGCCAGGGTCCTGGCTGGTGAGTGGCAGAGCCGGGGGCTGAGCTGGCATGTGCCCTCCCTGCGCTCCGCTCCGTCCTAGTGTGAAGGGGCCTCTCACTCGGCTGTGGGCGGGGTTTACCTGAGATGGCGTTCACGCTCATGCCCACTGCCTGGGAAAAGGCCAGCTGTAAGGTGGAGCCAGGGGGTGGGGGTGGGGGTTTGATGCTTGTGCTTCCTCACTAACGGGCACAGGTGGCAGTGCTGCCCCGTTTAAGATGAGTGGCCCAGGTGGAAGGTGCCGTCACGTCTGGAGGCCTCATGCTGGGCCCCTGCCTAGTGCACCCGGACGATCCGGCCTGTGTCACCCCCAGGCCTGTGCGGCTTCCACGACCTCACACTACTCCACTGTCCCCCACCCCTACCCCACCCCCCACCTCTGGCCCCGCTTTGCCAACATGGATGCAGGTTAGAGTGATGTGTACATTTTGTACACAGCCCACTGCCTAGAGAACTTCAGGGAGGTTCTTGTCATCCCTCACACCTCAGGCCGGCGGTTCCCAGCCTCACCTGTCCAGACTCCCCTCAGAGATGCACCTGGTGGGTCCAGCGCCCTAATGCTGAGCAGCTGGCCGCCCGGCCGAGGCTGGCTTTCACGTCCCATTCATTCCTCTTGGCCAGATGCTCGACATCCTTGCCCGGCCCAGCCTGCCACAGTCCCATTTCTTCATTATAAAATCTACTCTTTATAAAAAAAATAATAAAATTCAGTTTGTCATTTAAAGTTAATTACAATGAAAATGATAAAATTTTTAATCTTACATGTTAGTCTTTGAAGGAGCTTGCAAAACAGCTCTGTCTTGTCCTTTTAAGGGCCAGAAAGTAATGAATTTACAGACTAAGATTTAATAAAAGCAGGACATCAAAACTTTAAAGCCAGGAGAAACTTGATGAGCTAAGCTGCCTCCCAGTTTATACTTGGGAAGGAAGGAGGGGCAAAGCAGAGAAGGCCCATCTCTGCTGTGGGCCGGCACAGAGAAAGGAGAAATGTGGCAGCTGCTCTGATAGGATAGAATTTGGCTTGAGAGTAATCTGGGCATCTATGGCCCGTTGGTTGATATTTAGATAAAACCTAATTATAGATATTTTAGGGGTTCATTCAAGCAAAGGATAGTAAATAGAACCCTTTCTTAAAGTAGCACTTGGATTTTTCAGTCCCGAAGTTCAGAGGAGTAGTAACCACAGAGGAGAAGCACATAGGTTTGATGCTGACAGATTAAAGGTTCCTTCTAAGATAAAATCGTGAGCATACAGAAAAATTTTACAAATGGTTTTTTTTAATGTTTCTGTGTAATTCTTGCTGGTGTTTTTTGTTTAAAGATTTTTTTTTTTTGTTCGTTTGCATAAGTTTTCATGTCGTTAACCTTACATAATCTCCTCATTGCATGTTTGATTAACCCTTGGTGTGTTCATCTTCTGCGGGAAAGAGTAACCCGTTAGGGTTTAACCCCGGTGTCTTGAAGAAGACTGCAGTTCAGAAAGCTTTAAAGGTAAACAAATGGCTTCCCTTTGAAAGTTCATGAAGACATATTGAAAGAGATGATGCTTCAACCCTCGTGGTGTATTACTAATTAGTAATTAGTGGTCGTTAGAGAGAGCCTACTTTTGTTGACCAAGAATTAGTAGAGAATTTAAGTCAGCTCTGAAGAAAAATTTTATGAAGTTCCAGTATGATAAATTAGACATCGTCTTGTTGACCTTAGGTAGCAATATCTAAGGTGGTTTTAAATGACCTGTTTCAGTTGGATTTGAATTTGTGAAAATGATGAACTAAAGTTCTGTCTAAAATCTTACCCAGTCTTCAGACCTGGTTGGCAGGTGCCCCTTGTCACCGTGACTGTCTGTTTACACATCACCTCTTCCAATATGCTGAGTCAGGCCGGCTCCGCTGGTGACCTGAGAGCTTCCGGCGCTATGGCATGGGGCCAGGTCTTTGGGGAAGCTTTACATTTCATTCAGTGATGGATATTGAAAACTGAGCTCCACTCCCTAAAACACCAGGAACATGTATTTTCTGGCTAAATTGTTAAAGTTTTCTATGACTTACGATGTTTTATTATTTTTTCTTTGATTTCTTTGAACATTCTAGACTTAAATATTTAGGGGAGAGTTTAAATGTAATTATTTTAAGAAAATTCCATATAAAGGAATCAGGAATGTTTTTAAATCAGTTTCATCTGGAGGATAAGTTAAATTTCAAAAGTGGGAAACACTAATAAAGCCTGTTTTGTTTTGTTTTTTGATCCTCACCCGAGGGTATTTTTCCACTGATTTTTAGAGAGAGTGGAAGAGAGAGGGAAAGACAGAGAAATACCGATATGAGAGAAACACATCGATTGGTTGCCTCCTATACGCGTGCCCTAACCAGGGCCCAGGCTGGGGAGGAGCCTGCAACCGAGGTACGTGCCCTTGACCGGAATCAAACCTGGGACCCTTCGGTCCACAGGTCGATGCTCTATCCACTGAGCCAGGCTGGCCAGGGCAGATAAAGCCTGCTTTGATGTAGCGTTTATTAAGTCCTTGCTGCACCTTGTTCGCAGTAGTTGAAATACTGCCCCTAAAACACTGTAAGGAGTGTATCAACAGGCTTTCCTCCCATTTCTGTGTTATGGTTGGAACAAAGCTGAGAACTGAAGACGGCTTGGGTTGGAGTCCAGCATGAATTAATAATTTATAGGACGGAAGTGACAGTGTCTTCTTTGCTGGAGTAGTGAGTACGTTAAATGAGATCATGCATGGAAGGGATTCCATGCAGCTAGTCCAATATGTTCATTTTAATTGTTATTACTTCACCTCATTTACGCCTAACAGCTAGCTTCTGGAAATGGTATCATGCCCATTTCATAGAACTGAGAACCAGGGTTCAACTAGATGAACTGTGGGTCTCACTAATCGAGGGGTAAGGAATGAGCTGTAAGTTCAGGGAAGTCGTGACTTAGCGTCATGATATCTGTGTCTCTGAGTTGTGCCGAATGTGGAATCATAGTAGAAAACTTAGTGATTTGGAATCTAAAATGTCATTTATTTTAAGATACATCATTACTTTACGTACCACAAAGAAAGAAAACATGTCAGTAAAGGTTTGTTAGTGTTTATTTCATACTTATTAAAGACTTTTTAGGCTTAGGATACACAGATTTCCACCATGTCACACACATGCACGCACAGAAGGAAAACGGAAGCAAGCTAAGTGGGCCAAGGAAGTAGCCATTCCCCCAGCACCTCGATTTTCCCAAAAGCAGGCACATAAAGTCAGCAATTGTGAGTTTCGTTGCTTTCAAAGTAGAAAGTTAAAAAAAAAGTCTTATAAATATTATAAGTTTTTAGGAATGAATGGCTACTTTTTCAAAGATGAAGTAAGTATATTAGTTAAATACAGTCAGCTTCTGAGTCAGATTCAGGAGAAGTTGTAGTTTCAGCAAGACAGAGGTAACTTCCCTCCAGCATCCCAGAATCTCGCTGGGGCTCTGCCTGCTCGCTACCTCCATCCAAAAGGGGGTCCCTGGGAAGGGGCGGGAGATGCCTCCCCTTTTCAGGCCAGACTGCACCTGCCACACCTGACTGCAAGGGAGGTTCAGAAATAGAAGCTTTGTTTGCAGAGGCCTGGGCCCAGCTCACATGCCAGGGTTCTATCGTCCAGGGAAGAGGGAAAATGGACTTAGGGGACAAGCGGTGTCTCTGCCACAGTAGCCTGTAGCTTTTGAATTGTTTAACAGTATTTATTTCGTTTTACAGAATTCATTCACATCAAAAAGATGAACCAGAAAATAGATTATCGCAGTAGGTGTGGGCTAGTAATATTTTATTCCAATAATCATGAATTTGATGCTTATTTTTATCTTTGCTGCAGTGTTGTGGATTGACTTTAAAATTGTTTAACTAAAAACATTTTTGTGATCTAATTAATTTCCACTAACAGATATTTAATTGAATCTTCTGTGAGACTAAATTATAAATAAACCTCATGTCCCATATAGTTGTGTTTTACTATGTCTTCTTCTATCAGCTAAAATATATGCTTCTTACAATTTTTAAAATTATATTCATACTGCTTAATTTAATGCAATTCTAGATTGCTGTTTATTCTTCCAGTCAAAATTACTTAGGCGCTGGCCAGTGAGACTTGATATCTGATAGCTACATGTTTGAACAGAAGATACTAAGTTTAAAATGTGAAAACATGTTTCTGACACTTTGTAGTATTTTTATTATTCCAACTAGAGAACTGTTCTGCATTATATACTCTTTTTTTAAATATATATGTTTGTTGATTTCAGAGAGGAAGGAAGAGGGAGAGAGAGATAGAAACATCAAAGATGAGAGAGATTGATAGGCTGCCTCCTGCATGTCCCTCACTGGGGATCAAGCTTGCAACCTGGGCATTGTGCCCTTGACCAGAATCAAACCCAGGACCCTTCAGTCCACAGGCCAACACCCTATGCACTGAGCTAAACTGGCTAGGGCTATATACTCTTTTTAAAAAATATCTATTTTTATTGGTTTCAGAGAGGAGGAGAGAGATAGAAACATCAATGATGAGAGAGAATCATTGATCAGCTGCCTCCTCTTGCATGCCCCACACTGGGAATCAAGCCCGAAACCTGGGCAGGTGCCCTGACTGGGAATCGAACTGTGGCCTCTAGATTCATACATAGGTCAACGTTCAACCACTGAGCCACACTGGCCGGGCTGGATTATATACTCTTACATTTGTCCTTGCTCATGTTTTTGTATTCATTAATTTCACTTTATTTATTTTGTTATCCCGGTCAAATAAGTTTTGAGAGCTGGAATTATCAATAAAGATAGTCAGAAAATTTCATGTTTTCAAAGTAGTTTGCTCTAAAACTAAAAGACTTAACACTTAAAAAGTCTATGTAAATAGAACTTCTGGTATATTTCATGGTGGATACAGTTATGGTTTGGGTGGTGCTTAGTGATTCTTTCCCAGTTACTCCCAGATAGTCCCTGTAAACTGCAGTCTCAGAAGCAAATAGCAATGACTGTTAGTGTAGCCAATCGTTTCATGATCAACATCCTCTTTCAGGGTATTTGTTACTGATTTTGTCTTTTTTGTTTTTGGATAGTCTGGGAAGAAAATAAACAGCAACCCCAACCCTCTGGTGCAGATGTCAGTTGGTCACAAGGCCCAGGAGAGCAAGGTAAGGCCTTCGTTGCTGCAGTAGGTCCCACTTTCCTGATGCGAGAGAAGCATTTCAGGAACTGTTTAAAGTTACAGGCCTTTGTTCACACTCACCTGCTCACAGTTAGTTAGAGAAGCTTCCTGAATGCAGAGCTGTGCAGCCCACGGGAGCCCAAGGAGGGCCAAGCCACACAGGGAGGCCTTTGCCACCGGGAGGGCACACGGCTTGGGGCTTTGAGGCGCTGCCCGGCGCACTCTAAAAGCTCGGGACTGTCTTTTGAGCACTTTCCACAACTGGTACATACCAGCACGTGCTCAGTAAGTATGTGTCTTGGAATTAATTAAAGTCCTCCCTGGCTTCCAAACACATAAACTGATAAACACAGAAAGGAGCCACAGAGCTAAGAGCTGATTGGGGGATATTTCTTTCAGATTCGGTACAAAACCAATGAACCTGTGTGGGAGGAAAACTTCACTTTCTTCATTCACAATCCGAAGCGCCAGGACCTTGAAGTTGAGGTATTTTATTTGCATTCTTAAAAGATTTATTGAAATATAATTAACATGCAATGAACTGCACATATTTAAAGTGTATAATTTATGGATCCATCACCATAATCAGTAATTTTTTTTTAACTTTAGACTGTTGATTGAATGTTACTGGTATCTAGAAATGCAGTTGATTTTGTACGTTGGCATCATATTGTCAGTCGTGCTGAACTTATTAGTTCCGTAGTGCTTTTGAGGATACTTCAGGATTGCCTTCTACACAGGGAGTCTTGTCGTCTGCTAAGAAAGACACGTCTGCTTCTGTGTTTCCAACCCGCTGCCTCTGCCTCCTTTGTCTTGCCTTGCCCTTCCGGCCTCGGGCCTCCGTGTGAGGAGCCCCCTCTGCCTCCTCGAGTCCAGGGGAGCCTTAGACCTTCAGCATGAAGCCTGAAGTTTGAGGGCATTTCCCTCTCCTGCCACTAGATTGCTGAGAGTTTTGTCATAGTGAACGTGGAATTTTATCAGAGGCTTCTCTGCAACTGCTGAGGTGTCATCTAGCTTTTCCAAGTTTGTAAATATGGCGACTTTCAGACGTTAAATAATGCACACCTTTATTTGGTTTTCAAGATTTAGCATTAGGGAACCTCACAAGCAAACCTTTATTAGGGGATGAGTTTACTTGGTCATCACGTTGTATCCTTCTTATGGATTCTATTTAATTTGCTAAAATTTTGTTAAGAATTTTTGCACCTGAGTCCAGAAGGACACTGATCTATAATTTTGTTTCTCCAGCTTGTGGATCAGGATGATGATTGTAGAAAGAGTTGGGAGGTTTTCTCTCCTCTTTGTTTTTCCAAGAGTCTGTGCAGAATTATAATGCCCACCTGACAAGTTGATTCCTTTATCATTATAAAAATTTCCTTTACGGTTCAATTAAATGATATTCTTTACTCTGTAATCGACTGCTTGATATTAGTATAGCTATCCCATCTTTCTTTTTATTGAAGTTAACATGCTTACTTTTTTCATCTTTTTTAAACCTATTTGTAATTTATATTTAAAGGTGATGTCTTATAGACAGCATACAGTTATTGTTGATGTGGTTGGATTTAAATCTGCTACCATGCTATTTGCCCATTTGTTATCTTTGGCTTTTTTAATCTGATTTCTTTGGGAGTGAGCATTTTGTATAACTGCACTTTACCTCCTTTTTGGTTTATCAGCTGTAGCTCTGTGTGTGGTGTTGCGTGTACTAGTGATTGCTCTAGGGTTCCGGTCCCTCTGTTCCGCACACTGGCCTCCAGAGGTACAAGAACCTTCCAGGGCATGCTTCTGTTTCCACTCTCCCAGAATATATTTTATTATTTTTGCCTTAAACAGTCACTTATATTTTAAAGAGCTTTCTAGAAATCTAGAAAGTAGTTTTTCCTATTTAACCACATATTTACCACTCAGGTTCTTACTCTGTTCCAGCAGAAGCAATCTCCCTTCTACCCAGGGCCCTTTCACTGTTCCTGCAGGGCCAGTCAATGGGTTCTTCCAGTTCTTGTGTGTCTGGAAAGTCTGTTTCGCCTTCATATTTTCACAAGATATAGCATTTTGGCTACCTGTTTTTTTCTTCCACTTTCTTCCCTCTTACATTGTTTCTGATGAGGAGCCTGAACATTCCTTCTCCCATTTTTCCCCTCAAATGTCTCATCTGTCAGTCCCATTCTGTGGATTTTGGCCTTCCCGATGTTCATCTTAGAAGCTGAGTTTGGATCTTTAGTTTTCCATGTCTTTCCTCTGCCTTCCTGCGTGTGTGTAGCCTGGGTGTGACAGCTTCTGTGCATGTCACAATCCCATTGTCTGTGTGGTTGCTGGATCTGTGGATCAGATATGACTGCTTCTTTGGTTGCCTGGTAATTGTACATGTTTGCGTGCGGGGTTAGTGTGTCTTTAAATATTTTGGAGCTCTATTCTCATTTGGAGGGAAGGTACTTGGGAATACTTGGAGCTTTATTAGGCAGCCCGACAGCCTCTAGCCTTGGGATCTGGGGGCCCTAATCTGATGCCCCACACGTTACCAGGTTTTCTGCAGCCCCATGTGCTCTGGGATTGTCCTCTGCTCCTCCTGGGCTTGCGTCCTCCTGTGGTTGCTCCCTCGCATGTGCCCATTGGCTGAGATGCAGGGGTCCTCGGGGCCTCCAGCTCTCTGGGGCTCCCCCCTCTCTGGCACCTCCTGCTCTTTGACTGCTTCTCCCTGTGTCCTCAACACAGGGGGACCGCTGGCCTCTGTGGGATCCCCATCCCAGCACCATGGCCTGGACTCTCTAGGCAGTGACCAGGTCAGTTGTCAGGCTCACCTCACTTGTTTTTAAGCGGAGGTGGGATGGTAAATCGGTTCCTGTTGCTCCATCATGCCAAAGCAGAAATAACCTCCAGGCAAATGACATCCTCAGGAGGAGCTGGCGGGTGCTCCTTGGATTCCGCCTGCAGTCCCAGGGCTGTGTCCGTCCTCCTCTCACCTCACCTTAGCATAAAGGACAGTGGGTCACACAGCTTGCACGGTCATCCCAGGGGCAGGCGTACAAATATCCAGACTCAGCTATGCTGGTTCCCATGTTTCTTTTTGCAAGGCCTCCTTCCCAACATTCAGGCTTTGAGAAGTTTAAGGGCCTCTGTTTGCTCTTTCTCTTGTGCTGCTCTGATGGGTTCCTCAGCCCCTGAGACCTGAGGCCCGAGGGTCATGTCCTGCCCTGGGGGCCTCACGTCTCCCCCACAGAGTGCCTGGTCACTGCCGTGTTCATTGTTCTCTGCGTGTTTTATGTTTTCAAATTCCCCCTTTTTTTTTATAGAGGAGAGGTTTTATTTATTTTTGTTATGTTTTTATTGATTTCAGAGAGAAAGGAAGAGGCGGAGAGAGAAAGAGAAACATTAGTAATGAGAGAGACTCATGGATCGGCTGCCTCCTGCACGCCCCTTACTGGGGATCTAGCCCGCAACCCAGGCATGTGCCCTTGACCGGAATCGAACCCAGGACCCTTCAGTCCATCCACTGAGCCAAACCAGCTAGGGCCACATTCCCTTTTATGCAACATGTATCTGTCTAGCTACTTTTTGTATTTGTTTAGCTCCTTTTTCCTTCAGAAGTTGCACCATGCTTAAAACAATCTGTATTTACTGGATCTTGAATTTTAAAAAATAGCTTTTAAAGTTCAGTAAACAACATCACAATTATTTCTTTTTTAAAAACTATTTTTATTGATTTCAGAGAGGAAGGGAGAGAGAGGTGGAAACATCAATGATAAGAGAGAATCATTGATTGGCTGCCTCCTGCATGCCCCTTACTAGGGATTGAGCCTGCAACCTAGGTATTTGCCCCAAGAATCAAACCATGACCTCCTGATTCATAGCTCAACGCTCAACCACTGAGCCACACCAGCCAGGCCACAGTTATTTCTTTTAAAAATGCTTTTAGCCTTGACCAGTGTGGTTCAGTTGATTGGGCATCATCCCATACACCGAAAGGTCACCGGTTTGATTCCTGGTCAGAGCACATGCCCAGGTTACGGGATCAATCCCCAGTTGGGGTGCGTGTAGTAGGCAACAAGTCAATGTTTCTCTCTCCCCCTTTTCCTTTCTCTATAAAAATCAATAAAAACACATTTAAAAAATAAAAAAGCTTTTGGATTTCAGGTTATAAAGAAATTAGCAGTCAGGCATCTAGGTTTTCATCTTAGATAACTTCTTTGACCGTCTCATGCAGCCTGCGACAGCTCTTCCTCTGTTTGGTTATGAGCTGTCTTGTGTGACAGCAGTCTCACAGGAGCAGAGGTCATGCCGCAGAGTATCGCTCAGCAGGCAGGAGTTGCCCTGCATTTAAAGGAGATACTATAAATTTTCTAAACCAGGGGTCCTCAAACTTTTTAGACAGGGGGCCAGTTCACTGTCCCTCAGACCGTAGGAGGGTCGGACTATAGTTTAAAAAAAACTATGAACAAATTCCTATGCACACTGCACATATCTTATTTTGAAGTAAAAAAACAAAATGGAAACAAATACAATATTTGTATTTGCATGTGGCCCGCGGGCCGTAGTTTGAGGACCCCTGTTCTAAACAAATGTGTAGATTTTGAATAGAGAAGGCTTAAAAGACACCGAGAAATTTTTCTTCATAAACAAGTGTCATCAGTCAAACTTGACACATTATACAAATGTGCATGGTCATCATTTTCACAGGGTTTAAGACGTTTCTTTCTATTCTTCAGGTTTGTTCAGATTGCTGCCTCTTAACTAGAGGTTCTCCTAATGGACTCCTAACCATGGTGTCCTTTTTCGCTCATAAATGTGTGATGAGGAAGTGACAGACACATGTGATGCAGATGCAGTGTAGCATCACTCATTCCAAGGTGCCCTGTCTTCCCAAGGAGGTTTTCTGTTAGCATTTAAGGAAACACTGCCTAGAAGGAGATGGTTGAAGTGTGTTTTTAAAGACTGGATTTGGACCTTTCTACGTTGTGTCTTTATCCGTGGAGCTCAGTGTGTTCTGTGGTGTGTTTCCAGGTCAAAGATGAACAACATCAGTGTTGCCTGGGGAACCTGAAGATCCCACTCAGTCGTCTGCTCACCAGCGATGACATGACCATGAACCAGCGATTCCAGCTCAGTAATTCAGGTCCAAACAGCACTCTGAAGATGAAGGTCGCCCTCAGGGTACTGTAGTCTCCCAGGGGAGCACGGGGTGCACGGGCACAGGCTACCATGGCAAAGCTCTCAGGTGCTGTTCCACAGTGGACAGTACAGCCACAGGGCTGAGGACAAGGTGGACACGGTGATCATGGTGACAGCCACAGGGCTGAGGACAAGGTGGACACGGTGATCATGGTGACAGCCAGAGGGTTCAGGACAAGGTGGACGGTGATCACGGTGACAGCCACAGGGCTGAGGACAAGATGGACGGTGATCACGGTGACAGCCACGGGGCTCAGGACAAGGTGGACACTGTGATCACGGTGACAGCCACAGGGCTCAGGACAAAGTGGACGGTGATCACGGTGACAGCCACAGGGCTGAGGACAAGGTGGACACGGTGATCACGGTGACAGCCACGGGGCTCAGGACAAGGTGACGGTGATCATGGTGACAGCCAGAGGGCTCAGGACAAGGTGGACACGGTGATCACGGTGACAGCCACAGGGCTCAGGACAAGGTGGACACTGTGATCACGGTGACAGCACAGGGCTCAGGACAAGGTGGACGGTGATCACGGTGACAGCCACAGGGCTCAGGACAAGGTGGACGGTGATCACGGTGACAGCCACAGGGCTCAGGACAAGGTGGACACTGTGATCACGGTGACAGCCACAGGGCTGAGGACAAGGTGGACGGTGATCACGGTGACAGCCACGGGGCTCAGGACAAGGTGGACGGTGATCACGGTGACAGCCACAGGGCTCAGGACAAGGTGGACACTGTGATCACGGTGACAGCCACAGGGCTGAGGACAAGGTGGACGGTGATCACGGTGACAGCCACGGGGCTCAGGACAAGGTGGACGGTGATCACTGTGACAGCCAGAGGGCTCAGGACAAAGTGGAAGGTGATCACGGTGACAGCCACAGGGCTCAGGACAAGGTGGACACTGTGATCACGGTGACAGCCACAGGGCTCAGGACAAGGTGGACACTTGGTGACAGCCAGAGGGCTCAGGTGGACGGTGATCACGGTGACAGCCACAGGGCTCAGGACAAGGTGGACACTGTGATCACGGTGACAGCCAGAGCCACAGGGCTCAGGACAAGGTGGACATGGTGACAGCCACGGGGCTCAGGACAAGGTGGACGGTGATCACGGTGACAGCCAGAGGGCTCAGGACAAGGTGGACATGGTGACAGCCACGGGGCTCAGGACAAGATGGACGTGGACATGGCACAGGGGAGCATGGATAACGCTGCCCATGTGGGAGCTCAGGGAGATGATGGAGGCCTGGACTCGACTTCCAACAGAAGCAGAGTGTCCCGGTGGCTTGAGCAGCCCAGGGGTCCGTTCACCTGCAGGTGGGTGCAGTTGACCGCGTTTTAGACTTTGGCCCAGAAAGTATGCTATCGGGTCAGCAGAGTTTTCTGCTAAGATTAAATCTTCAATAGTCATTCAGAAGAGAATTTAATAAAATTCTACAAGATGGTAGAAATTACCCCAAATTTTTTGTCCAAAAAGATAATAATTCATTTGTAAGCACCTAAGGAAATATTAAAAATAAACTGGCAAACATGAGAGAATGTTGAAACTCACTAATTTTAAAAATGCAAATTAAAATGGAGAACCACCTGTTTAAGGAATTAAGACAAACTTGGTGTGTGGGGTGCTGTGGAATGTGCTCCGTGGTCCCAGTCAGGACCTGGTGGGCACAGCCTCTCCTGACAGTGTCTCCAGGCCGTAGGTCACAGAGTCCTGGGGCCAGAGCCCCTGGAAATCGGACTTTCAGTTAAAATGCACAGTGTGGGGAGACCATGAATATGAAGCTGGCTGCTGCAGCTTTACTTTGTAAAAGCAGGAAAAAACTTCTAGCCATCACAGTGACCGCAGAATGCAGGAGTGTATGGAGTCTAACTCTGCTCAGTGGACTGTTGTGTATGTTAAAAGTAAATATTAAGCCCAGTTTGGCTCAGTGGATAGAATGTCGACCTGTGGACCTAAAGGTCCCGGGTTCGATTCTGGTCAAGGGCACATACCTCGGTTGCAGAGTCCTCCCCGGCCTAGGCAGTGGTCAGGACTCGTGCAAGAGGCAACCAATTGATTTGTTTCTCTCACATTGGTGTTTCTCTCTGTCTTTCCCTCTCTCTTCCACTCTCTCTACAAATCCATGGAAAAATATCCTCGGGTGAGGATTTAAAAAAAAAAGTAAATATTAAAAACTAGCAAAGTGAATGAGGGCATGGGCTGCTCCCCCATCGATGCTAGGAATTTGGGGTAATTTTGCTGGGTAGAGGTGTCGTGACTCTCATCCTTCCCCAGGGTTGCTGATGGAGGCGAGACTATTCCACCTGGGTAGGACGAGGGACCAGCCCACCTGGGTAGGATGAGGGACCAGCCCACCTGGGTAGGATGAGGGACCAGCCCACCTGGGTAGGATGAGGGACCAGCCCACCTGGGTAGGATGAGGGACCAGCCCACCTGGGTAGGATGAGGGACCAGCCCACCTGGGTAGGACGAGGGACCAGCCCACCTGGGTAGGATGAGGGACCAGCCCACCTGGGTAGGACGAGGGACCAGCCCACCTGGGTAGGATGAGGGACCAGCCCACCTGGGTAGGATGAGGGACCAGCCCACCTGGGTAGGACGAGGGACCAGCCCACCTGGGTAGGACGAGGGAAGCTTTCTGTAACATCGTATTACTTTAATAACAGAACAGGTGAACAGGTAGACCAGATTGTCCATATTGTTTTATGCTAAGTTTTAAATGAATTGGCAAGTGAATAGATCTAAAGCGTTCATGTATCAGGCTATTACCAGTGTCACTGATTTTAACTTGTTTATTTCCACCTCTAGGTACTCCACCTCGAAAAGCAAGACAGGTCTCCAGACCACCAGCACTCAGCTCAAGTAAAGCGACCCTCAGTTTCCAAAGGAGGGAGAAAAGTATCTGTCAGGTCTCAGGTGTCCATGTCACCAGGCGCTGGGGACAGCAGCCCAGCCCCGTCCACTCCAGTCCTTGGAGGCGGTGCGAAGTCCAGCGTGGAGGACAGAGCTCAGCCTGCGGAGACCAGCCCTCAGGGGCCTCGAGACCTGGGCAGAAGCGCCTCTAGCCTCCATGGCGGCACCACCGGCTCCCCCAGCCACATCTTCATCAAGGAGCCCACCCCCAGCATAGCCTCGGACATATCGCTGCCCATCGCCACGCAGGAGCTTCGGCAGAGGCTGCGGCAGCTTGAGAAGTAAGGAGATGCTCTCTTGCTCTCGCCCAGGCCGCGCACGCCCATGTGCTGTGAGGCTGTGTCTCAGCAGCTAAGGGGCTCAGGGGCGGCACCCTTTCAAAGGGAAGCCTGCCGTTTTCCAGGCCTCCTTCGGCTCCTTAAGGGTTAGATGGTGATGGGGTAGCGGGTCCCCTGAACTGCAGAGGCTCTAGTGCTGCTGCCCTCAGGGCAGGAAGGCGGGTCCAGAGCTGAGCTGCCCGATGGTGGGAGCAGGCTCTATTCGTTCCAGTTTGCTCAGCACCCACTGCTGGTCCCCGTCGCTTTTGATTTCTTACTTAAGCCCCGTGATTCCTAGATAAGGAGGAAAAACAGTCTGCAGGCACCACAAGCTTCAGATGTTAGTCTTGTCCCCTCAGCGGAAGGAAGGAAGTTGCCTTTGAGGTGAAGCATGTGTTCTTGGTGTCGGGACGCAGGCATATGTGTGACCTTCTGTGACATACTCAGTGCACTGGTCTCCTTCGCACCTTCTCACCTCCACTATTTTTGAAAAAAGAAATCAGTCCCTCCCCTTCTCTTGCTCTAAAAGGAAATAAAATTTTAAATAAGAAACCATTTTTTCACCGGAGCTGGTCTTGGGGGACCCTGAGCCAGGCAGTCATTGGTTACCTTAGAATCCATGCTTTGACCTTGAGAAGCAGAAATTGAGGGGGGTGTTGTGATGTCACCGATGTCCTGTTGGTGAACATCAGATCCAGGATTATGGGGTTCTGAGAAAGGATGCGTAGATGTGGGCAGTGACAGGCCCAAAGACCACAGCATCGGGGTTTGTAATTAGGAGACGACCATGTCTCCTTTTACTTTGGACCTTAAATGAAAAAGCTCTCAGTTTTGAATTATTAAGTTATGTTAACCTCAGCTGAGTAGGATTTGACTGGTTGATTTGTCCTCAGGTTCGGTTGTGTCCTCTAGTCTGCATGAGTGAGCTTGGCTTTCCTACCGAGTTGGAGCGGTAACTCGGGGAGTATAAGGTCCGGGCAGAGCTGTGACTTCCCGCTTTGTTTCCTCAGTGGGACGACGCTGGGACAGTCTCCCCTGGGGCAGATTCAGCTGACAATCCGGCACAGCTCGCAGAGGAACAAGCTGGTGGTGGTCGTGCACGCCTGCAGGTGAGCGGCGCTCCCTTGGGAGCCTCCCTCCGGGGCCTCCCAGTGCTCGCAGTTGGATCTCCTGTGCCCAGTGTTTATTCCTTCTTCTTTCTCAGTATTGCTTCCTAAACATTCATAACCACTGAGTTGCTTGGCAACACACCCTGGAACTGTGGGTACGTTGCTACTCCCTGCTGTGGGTGTTTAGATGGTCTAAATAATGAGTACACTCAATAATGAATGCATTTTCTTTTATTGAAGTGTTCTTTGAGGGTTACATTTCTAGGAGTAAACTTATAAATTCAGAGGACCTAGCAATTGATGGGTCATGGTCAGTTTTGCCGTAGTCTTTCCAGGAGACCTGGGCACCGAGGGGCTTGGCTTGCCTTTCCCCCGTCAGGAAGGGGTGTGACGTGAGGTGACAGTGTGATTAATGATGATGGTCAGGAGCTATTTCTCTCTTATGTGACTTGCCTGTCTCTGTAGTAGTTGTGATATAAGTGTGTTTATATAAATATTTGATTCTTAAAAAGCTGTTAGAAACAGAAAAATAAAATTAGTGACATTAGGAACATGACTGTATCGCTGTGGAGTTCAGCTCAGTGCATATGTGTTCAGCACCTTCTATGTTCTCCTACTGAGATCACCACTGGGAAACACAGCACAGGAGCTGGGTTAGAGGACGCCAGCCCAGTCCCTACCTAGGTCCTCAGTCTGTCAGTGAGTGGATAACGTGAAGAGGCTGCATACAATCGATACAAACAACAGTCAGTTCCTGTGGCTTATCGCTGGTCTAAAACATCACCAGAGTTCTCCACAAAGACTCACAACACTTCTGGGAAGCATTGAGATAAATGTGAGCTCTACACACATTGAAGAAAGCTGAATAAAAACAAGTGAGATCATTAATTTCCCAGCCCGCTTATTCCAGTTTCAGGTCATGAGTGACCACATTGCCTTTCTTTGCAGCTCAGGGCACAAGGTGGGCACCAATCCTGAGCAGGATGCCCCTCCATCTGGGGGCCACTCACACCTGCACCTGTCTCACTCAGACACGTTAGAGAGGCCACTCACGCCTGCACCTGTCTCACTCAGACACGTTAGAGAGGCCACTCACGCCTGCACCTGTCTCACTCAGACACGTTAGAGGCCACTCACGCCTGCACCTGTCTCACTCAGACACCTTAGACAGACCACTCACGCCTGCACCTGTCTCACTCAGACACGTTAGAGAGGCCACTCACGCCTGCACCTGTCTCACTCAGACACGTTAGAGGCCACTCACGCCTGCACCTGTCTCACTCAGACACGTTAGACAGGCCACTCACACCTGCACCTGTCTCACTCAGACACGTTAGAGGCCACTCACACCTGCACCTGTGCCCACTCAGACACGTTAGAGGCCACTCACGCCTGCACCTGTCTCACTCAGACACGTTAGAGGCCACTCACGCCTGCACCTGTCGCATTCAGACACGTTAGAGGCCACTCACGCCTGCACCTGTCTCACTCAGATACGTTAGAGGCCACTCACGCCTGCACCTGTCTCACCCAGACACGTTAGACAGGCCACTCACGCCTGCACCTGTCTCTCTCAGACATGTTAGGCCACTCACCTCCTGTGCACATCTTTGGGATATTGGAGGAAACCAGAGTCCCCGTAGAAAACTTATAAGACACAGTGCAAGCTCCACACAGTTCTACTGAGGGAATATTTTTCTCGGGAACTTAACAGAACAACAGTCCTCCAGGACCTGCTGTAGAAAGTATGATGTGATGCTAATTGTCATCTTCCTAGAGTATAATGCCTGCTGTTCTTTGGTTTGTTTTACAAGAAACCTCATTGCCTTCTCTGAAGACGGCTCTGACCCCTACGTCCGCATGTATTTGTTGCCAGACAAGAGGAGGTCAGGGAGGAGAAAAACACATGTGTCGAAGAAAACACTGAACCCCGTGTTTGATCAGAGGTATGGACTTCCCTCACCTGGGGCAGGTGTTGGGGTAAGTTAGCAGGGCCTCCCAGTGACAAAGCATTGGCGCCCACCTGGCACTGAGAAGTGGAAACTCAGATCAGTAGGCGTGAGTACTCTGAATTTCATGCAGAAGTGACAAGTTGTGAACATGGATGGCGAGACGAGTGATTAGATAAAAGAACTGAGTTATACATCAAAGCCGAGAATATTAAAATGCATATATTTCTCAAAATAATAAACCTCTATAACATCTTAAAATATAACATTCTTATGAAAACAACCAGTTTCCAAAACAATTTTAAAAGTGAAAAGAATGGCATAATTGTTTCAGATTTGCAAATCTCTTTCATGGTCTGGCTTAACAGAGGCTCATATCTGCTTCTGTGGTCAGTCTGACATGGTCGCTCCTGAGCGGTGCTCAGGCACTTAAAGAGTCTCCATCTGCACGTTTGGTGTCTTACTCAACAGTCCTGTAGCTCAAACCACCAGCGTTTGGGGAAATAAGATTGCATCGTATTGATGTCTGCTAATTCAGTTTACACTTCCCCTTTAAAGGTACTAGACCCGTGGTCAGCAAACTGTGGCTCACGAGCCACATTCGGCTCTTTGGCCCCTTGAGTGTGGCTCTTCCACAAAATACCACGTGCGGGTGCGCATGTACAGTGCGATTGAAACTTCGTGGCCCATGCGCAGAAGTTGGTATTTTGTGGAAGAGCCACACTCAAGGGGCCAAAGAGCCGCATGTGGCTCGCGAGCGCGGTTTGCCAAGCCGCAGTTTGCCAACCACTGTACTAGACACATCATATTTTTACTGACAGGAACACACCAAATCCTGATGTGGGCACCTTGTATTTGTCAGTGTTCTTACTCCGCGGCAGCAAAGAATTTGAGATCCACGTGCAGCTTTGGGTCTCTAGCTGCCGTGGCTCCGTGGCAGCACCGGCCACGTCCTGGCTACGTCCTTGCCAGAGACCCTGCCTCATGCGAACCACACACACCGCTTCGAGGACCTGCCTCCCTGAAGGCATTTTAGTTTGCGGCCTCTGCCTTCAGCCCCTCACGAGGCTTAGAAGTTGCTCTCCTTTCGTCTTTAGGGAGAGGGAGCCTGGCCTTAGCTGTTGAGTCGAATATAACATCTGTGATCCCACATCCTAGCTGCCCACCTTGTGCGTGGGAGCTGCAGGCCAGAATCTTCTCTTATGTTCTGAACCCTGGAAAATACTTTGATTTTGTGTTTTTATGAAATGCAGGCCCCAAACATCTAGCACAAGAACCCTGTTTTATAATAAGAAATGTGACATTTGGAGTGGTCTCGTAGGCAGGAGTGTCATGCTCAGTTACGGGAAACTGCAGCAAGATGATGGAGAAATTGAGGGAAGGGCCTCTTTCTCTGTCAGCTTTGAGTTCAGCGTCTCGCTACCGGAAGTGCAGCGGAGAACGCTGGACGTCGCCGTGAAGAACAGTGGCGGCTTCCTGTCCAAAGACAAAGGGCTTCTTGGCAAAGTAAGTCTGAGCAGACCCCTGTGAGACTTCAGCCCCTACCCCTGCGCCTGGTAGACCATAGTACATAGGTAGGCGGGGTCAGTGTGCTCTGCGGCTGATAGTAGACCAGGAGGACTGCATCAGCTAAGAGGTCAGTACATTGTGAAGACATTTTAACTGATTCTGTTGTTTTTACTCATTCATGTTATTGGCTTATTAGTCATAGTAATACCATGAACTTATAGTTGAAGGTTATTTTAAAAATATTTTTTCAAGTATCACAGTGAAAGCAAACCCAAAGGGAACACATTCTCTTCCAGTTCTACCTCCTGATTAACCAGCTGTGGTTTTTCCTAACAAATAATTGGCTTTATTTCTTTGAATTTTTTTTTTAATCCTCACCTGAGGATATTTTTCCATTGATTTTTAGAGAGAGTGGGAGAGAGAGGGAAAGACAGAAATATCGATATGAGAGAAACACATCGATTGGTTGCCTCCTGCACATGCCCCAACCAGGGCCCAGGCCGAGGAGGGCCCTGCAACCGAGGCACGTGCCCTTGACCGGAATCGAATCCGGGACCCTTTAGTCCACAGGCCGACGTGCTATCCGCTGAGCCAAACTGGCTAGCGCCCTTTGAATTTCTTTTAGTCTTTGTCCATATCCACATGTAATTGTTGCATAAGAATGTACATTCTTTAATAATGTACACAGAAATAAGTTAGGGAAGAGAAGTTTTGAATTGTAGGTGCCATTTGTGGCCAGTGCACATCAACTTTAGTGCCTTCACTGGCCATGAGCCTCTGTCCCCGCAAAGGCTCTCCCCTGAGGTTTCCTATAACCTAATGTTAGACGGTGGATAAGGCAGACTCTTGGGTAGGACCCACCATCCTGGGGTGAAGCACACTGGAAGGTGAGAGACTCACACTAAAGGAGCATACAGTGCTGATGAGACAGGGAGATGGGCGAGGGCAGAGGTGCGGGTCCGAGGGAACGCCCCCACCTCTGACACACTCCCTTACCCACAGGTGTTGGTTGCTCTGGCGTCTGAAGAGCTCGCCAAAGGCTGGACCCAGTGGTGAGTGTCCTTTCACAGGCCACAACTGATAGACTGACTGACTAAGGCCGCCACCCTGACCTGTCTGTCGCTTCCTGTGCCCTCAGGTATGACCTCACAGAAGACGGGACGAGACCCCATGTGGTGACGTAGGCCACGCTGGTCAGGGAGCTGCCTGGGTATCTGCCACCCTGCGTGCTCGGAAGGCGCCTTCCCCACACACCAGTGCTATTTTTATACTTCATGTTCTTCGCTTATCGTTTTATATAACGTGGACGTTTTAATCATATTTGGCCAATGTTACTGTTAACTTTTGTATGTCTGACTTCCTGTAGTATTTCAGCAGTTATCACTGTGTACAATAGGACGTAGTCACTGCGGTGTTGTGCTGGGCTGTGTCCAGGAGGCAGGTGTGTATATGCTTTGTTGTTACCTTGTTTTGTGTGTCACTGAGGCACACTGTGCCATGTACATAGACTCTATTTTTTATAATCTCTATAAACTGGTTTGAATTCAGAAAAAAATGGTTTAAGGAAATATATATTTTTTCTTCTAAGTCTTATTAAATTCTTATGACAAATAATCATTTTTGTCTTTGCAAGAAAAGTTCTCAGTGACTTATTTTGCGCTGTTTCTTTTTTAAAAGAAAAGCTGAAAGATTATTGAATATTAGTATATCTCTATCCATAATCAGTGAAAGAAAGTATTCAAAAAATTAACTTTCATAACTGTAAAATGTGTTATTGAGAAGTTGGTTGAAGTGTTTATAAGAAAAAATGTTATATATCTAAGTTGCATAGACTATTAAGAGAATTATCATGGTTCATTAATCATAGTGTCCTAATTTGAAACTTCTTACATCCATGAAAATGTCAAGTTTTTTTTTAATTGCTTGTTGTAACTTATTCATGAAATAGTGCACATAAACACAATTATACTTTTTCTAAAATATAATACAAATTTTCAGTGTTAGCTGTTAGGTCATTGTGAAATAGTCTATCATGAGCTTTGTGGGTTTTCTGTGTTTTCCCAGCCTGTAAAGAAAGACAAGCTTATGTTGTCACCATAAAGGTTGCGAGGTAAATGGGGTAAGGAGATCGGAAATTGCATTAAAAGCCGATCACTGGTTCACGCGTTCGTCGGTGTGACATCGCGCAGGACAGTGGTCTGGGCTGGTCCTCGGCTCCATTCTGCTCTCACGGGCCGCAACCAGGGTGTCAGCACAGCGGCGCTTGGATGAGAAGCACCATTTCCTGGTTTCCTTACTTCATGCCATGACTGACCTCAATATTGGAATATTGTGACACAATTATTTTGGAATATATTTTTCTTCTTAGATTATTAAAAGCATGTTTTATATCCTGAAGCTTGTCCTTGGTGGGTCACGATTGTGTTGCTGTGCGCAGAGGCTGCGCTGTGCAGAGCAGGTGTGAGTGGTTTGCGCTGCAGTAGCAGGTGCCTCCTTAGCTGTGTGAACATTCTAAAATTAGGCATAAGTATCTCGGGAAAGAGTTTGGTGGCTGAAGTGGGAGATCTCACCACAAATCCCATGGGCCCTAGGTGGCTCAGGTGACCAAACATCAAAGTGCCTGTGGTGGATGCTGATGGTCCCTTCGCCCACACCTGCCTGTCAGCGGACTTTGCTTGCTTTACTTCACACACTGACCCATGGCTTTATTTATAACTAGAGGCCCAGTGCACGAAATTCATGCAAGGGGCTCGGCCCTAGCAGCCACAGAAGGATATCCAGAAGGTCATTTGGTTGTCTGGTCTAATTAGCATATTACACTTTTATTATTATAGATGGAGTCTATAGCTTCATAACACAGTTCATGTAATCTGTTTCCCACTGGAGGAAGTTTACGAATATATTGATAAACACGTGAACATATGTGCACACAGAGCACTTAACTGTGATGTTTTAGTAGCATGAGAAAGACAAGATACTGCATACTAAATCTAGTTGCTGCCCATGACATTTGATTCATTGAAGATATTTTAAAAATTAGGTCTGTTGAAGGGCTTCTTGCATAATCTATAACAGAGAAGAAACACTCACTGAAATTTAGTCTGCCAATAGTTTCTGCTATCATCTTAAACTTTTGGCTTTTGCAACATGTGCTTCACCTATTCGGTGTGTATTTTACTTGATGGAACACTTTATTCGACCATCAGGCCAAGTGAAGTGATGGAAAGCAAAAGGCCCCTGCAAAGCTGTGTGCCACTCGATGCCCCGTTCCTGACACAGTGACCTGCCTGCAGGTGCCCAGGCGACTCTCGAGGGAAGGAAGCAGTAGGGGTGGTTCTAAGGGCACTGAGACCCCTCCCGGGTGGGAGTCTGACTTATTGTGGCAACATGAGTGTTCAAGGGAAAACTCTTCCTCTGTGGGTCGTGTAGGACTCACCCTGGAGACCAGGCTCAGCATCCCAGGGCCCTGGCGATGGAGGACACTGGGAGTCTAGTTCTTCATGATCAACATCTAGGAAAGGGGAACTTGAGCTTTTATTCTACATGCAGCCAAACCAGGGGAGGGAAAGTCACTTAACTGAAGTTGAATTTTGTTAGTTTGTACATGTGTTGTGCTTGCCCTCTGCCTTACAATACAAGTGTAACGGCGTTTGCAGCTTCCGATGAAGACAGAGGCCTTGTAGAATTGACCTTCTGCCCTGAGAGTGCCTTCTTCAGGGTCTCTTCACCCGGAGCTCAGCCCTGCTTTTTCAGGAACCACAGCCAAGTGCGGGGCTGAGTCTGCTTTAACCAGTGGTCACTCTGACACGCTTCCAGCGTATCCCCGATGCAAATGGAGCCTGCAGAGGGCCTTACAGAGAAGGTCCTGTGTGTTCCCTAACGACGCAGCGTGACGTGTTTATTCAATAGGCGTTTATGTTTGCTCGCTGGTGATTTGCTCCTCCTTGGCCTTTGAAAATTCTAATGTGGGACCAGATGACCTGAAGAGTAAGTAGAGGGTACTTTATATTTGCTCTTTGTGAATTCTTCCTTTTTTAAAAGCACTGCATCTGCCTGGCTGGTGTGGCTCAGTGATTGAGCACCGAGCTATGAACCAGGAGGTCATGGTTCGATTCCCAGTCAGGGCGCATGCCTGGGTTTGGGGCTTCAAGAGAGATCATCTCATACCTTGTTCATTTATTCAGAAAACATTTTCTTCCAGCATCTCAAATGTGCCAGAGTTAAGAGGCAGGCCCTGGGGAGACCCAGTGCTGGCCATGGTCCTGGGCGGGTGGAGCTGAGGGTGGTGGAGGAGGCTGGGAATCACAGTGCACTCAGGGACCCTAGGCACACTGCCCTGCCCTTCATTGTGTGGCTGACAACAGTGAGGTGCAGAGTCATTGAGTGGCCTGTCCAAGGTCACAGGGCAGCCAGGTCTCCCAAGCATTGTGGCTTCAGAACCCACCTTGTTTAATCAATTTCTTACCCAGGAACAGAGACAGCAGGTAGAGGTAACTGAATGAACTGGGATCAAAAGAGTGGAAGAGGTGGGATTCAGCTGAGGGAGGGGCAACTGCAAGATGGAAGTGGACACCAGGATGAGTGACAGCGCTGCGAGTGGAAGGTGGGCGGGACCTGAGGGTTGTGAGCTCAGGGATGCAGGGGAGGGGCTAGGTGGGGCCTGAGCGCGGGCGGGGCGTGTGTGCTGGGACGGAGCGCGGGTGGGCGGGCGGGGCCCTGAGCGCCAGCGGAGCGTGTGGATCGAAAAGCGGGCGGGCGGGGCGTGTGTGCCTGCACAGCGGGCGGGGCCTGAGCCCGGCGGGTAGGCCGGGCGTGTGTGCCCAACCTGAGCGCGGTTGGGCGGGCGGGAAGGCCGGGCGTG